TTTTGAAGATGTGTCTGTACTATTTCTATCTGTTCCAGACTACACACGTGCAGAAACAAATCTTGTGTTATGAAAATCCTACAAAATGACTTTATACCCCAGTATTTGTTCAGATGGCAGGTAGCTTTGATCACAGGCCTGTAAGGCAACCCCCAAGGTTCAGAGCCCACTATCCTCTCAGTTCTCTCCACTTTGGTTTTTTTCCTCCCAGTCTGCAAAATAGGTCATTCTTACCTCCCCCAAGAAGGTGTTGATGCCTTACTTTGTTAACATCTGTAATGTAATTTGAAGATGTAATAGGTGTAGAAGTGCTAAGCAGTAGAGGGGGGGGGGGGTTGAGTGTAGCAGACTAATTTCTGTTGAGATGCATGGCATCTGAAATATGTTAATGCTACTTAGAGTTGTGTGTTCTACAAATAGAGCACTTCATTTTCAGTTTGATATTCACAGCATTTTAATGAGCTCCACCTTCCAACTGTGGAAACAGTCAGCCTGATCCTTCAAAATTCTCATGGATTTCACTACAAAATCAGTAGGAACTAAAAAACCCCATGTAAGCCAGATGCAGTTCTTTACTTGAATAGATTTGAAAGATTGGTGAAGCTTATGAAAATAGGTGAGTTTCCTTAAATTGGATAATTCAATGGAGTGATTTGGGAGACAATCATTTGCATTTAAAAAAAACATGTTGGCTTTTATCCATCTTTAAAAGAACATGCATACACTTAATGGTCCTGGGCTTTTTGTTTTCTGTTGAGAGTTCTAACGTCAATATTTCTGAAAGGTGAGGTTAGTAAATGTTAGCATGCCTAAAATTATACAAAGCGTTGCCTGCACTACTTTGGAAGCAGCAAAATGATTGAGGGAGTAGTTTAAAGGTACTTAGAAATTCACTAGCTTGATCTCTTAACAGCTGACCTTGCATTGTGAGAGCCCTCCCTGTCCCTCAACATTTGCTCAGGTTTTGGTTAGCTCATGCAAGAAGAGAAAATTTTGGATTTTCTAAGTGGATTTCTTGAAATGTGTTTTCTAGGGATGGAGTGTGGGCAGACTTCTAAAGGGCTAGACCAAGTAAGGTGTCTTGTTTCTAACCTGGTTAAATAAAGCAGTTTTGAAAAACAAAGTATGAAAATGGAGTCTAATTTTTCCCCCCTTGAAGGTCTGTCTCTTCCTGACTTGATACCCCTCCACCCCCAGGGTTTCTGCTGCTTTACAGCAGTGTTTCTTAACCCGGGGGTCGTGACCCGAAAGTAGGTCACAAGAATGTATGAAAGGGTTGTGAACAAACTTTAAAAACAGATTCTCCTTTAAAGGAGAATGTGGGAAACGGTGGCTTTTCCCTTGCGGGCTGGCAGAGCTGCGGCTTGCAAGGGACTGTTGGAGGCAGGAGGTCGGGAGTGAGGGGCCAGCTCAGGGCTGGCCATCGATGTTTATAAATGGGGCCTGGTCCCAAAAAAAGGTTGAGCAGCGGGGAGCATGCGCTCCTTAGCCGCCAGGCACCAGCGCCTCGCTCTCCCCCTCCCCCGCCCGCTTCTCTTCGGTTTCTCAAGGGGCGATGCGCGTCTGAGGAAGCTAGTTAGGAGCCCCGCGCCCACGATGGTAGGGGCCCGGTGTCTCCTCTCCAAGCACCCATGTCTGCACCCCCCACGGCCCGGCTGGGCGCTGGGCTGGCAGCGAAGGTGCGTCCCCCCCGCCCCCGGCGGCGTCACAAAGACAGCCCCAGCGCAGGGCCCGCGGCACCCGGCGGGGCAGGGCAGGGCGGGGCGGG